AGGCATGCCTCATGCAGCACCTGCTTTTGCAAGCCTGCTGGATGCCTCCTCTGTGGCCATCTATTTTTGGAAACAAATCAGGTATTTTGCTTTGAAAACTAAAGTGTAACTCTCCAAGGCTAGCTTTTTTGAAGGATGGATTCAGACAGAAATGGTCTTTCTAAATTATAGGTTTAAAATTACCCTACCATTATACAACTGCTTGGCACTTCTCCAGAAAACTGAAGACGTTTGGAGTTTTTTCCACTGAAATGATAATTGCCCAATGAAAACAGGATTTAGGAAAACACAAACTGACATCAAGCTATTCCTTTTTGCTATAAATTATATTGACTCTGCACTATTGCAAAATTACTTTGGATGATTTGACCATGGAAGAATGTAGTGAAAGACTCTTATTACCACACTCACATGTGCAGGGAAATTGCAATGCATCCAAACAAATCTAAGCTTAGACAAGACTTTCCACTGACTTCAAACAACTCTCTGCTTTTCTTCCTCAGAGTTGCTCAGGCCTCTATTAAAATATCTTTAAGGTGCTTAACAAGCAGGTGTTGCCCATTGTGTGGCAGGATGGAAGTCACCTTTTCTTCCTCAACCAAATTTTCAATATTTGAATTGTTTACTCCAAGCTGCCTTGAAAGCAATGAAGAACAGGAATGAAAAACTCCCAATTCTGACTCTGAAAAAGAAATAGTTGTTTATGCAAGGTATTATTTTCCCATGAAACTCCCTGTTGCAGGATATCGTTGAGCTTGCTAGTATACTAGAAATGATTTAGGAAGAGGTTTTTAAGATGTGTATCAGCAAATGGATGGATGTGTGTAGATAGGCACACAGATGTACAGAGATTTGGGAGAATGCACTTAATGCCCAATGGATACTTTCTGTAAGCACTGGAAGTGCTGAAGTGAATCGAAAAAACGAACTTTCCCATGGACTGTGAGTGATTTCTTTGTTTGGCTCAGTTTGCCTATCTACTTTATACTACAGGGTGGAAAGGGTTATATTTTCCTCTGTAAGAGTAAAAGATGGATGTTAGTCAGAGAGCCTGTTGGGCTAGTAAAAGTGAACTGTCAAGAGCTGACAACATATGAATGGAGTTACCTTGGAGATGCAATGGAAGACCAACAACTAGATGTTGAGGTTTTAATGAGTGTCTGCCAAGGGTGGGGGAACGTGTGAAAACGGCGTGGCTGGACCTTGAAACTAAGGACTGAGGTGCTGGGATGCTGGAGGAACTTGGCTGAGGAAGAGGAGGAGGGATGGTGTACGGCCACGCCTGAAGTCCCTTTGGGGCTCTGAGCCCAGAAGAGCCATTTGGAAACTTTTTTTTTTTCTCTGGGTGGCTTGTCTGCAGTCACTCAGCAAACCATTGGCAGGGCCAAGAGAAGGGGCAGCCTTAGGGTGTTGGGTTGTGCCCTGATAAGTGTATCGATCACCTGCTGCAAGCATTCACAGAAAACAAAATGACTTAAATGATAAGAGTAAGGGATCTTAGGTAATGATATATGCTCTAAACAGCCCAACTTAAAATGAAAACAAGAGCTAATTTCCAGACCTCTTACTTGAAATGAATTCTCTGTCCAGTCCCTGCTCATAGTATAAACTCCAAAATGCATCCTAGACTGACTCTAGGGAAGTTTGAGATGCCTGTGGATCAGTAACACAAAGGTTTTCCACGTATGCGTTCAGTAACAGGATGTTACTTTTAGTACCATTGAATCAGCTGAGACATAGAGGGAAGATGACTGAGTATCTGTAGATGTGTGTAGCTGCCGCATTATTTGCCAGGACGTGGATTGCATCCGATGGTGCAGAGGGCTGGGGGCTCTAGCTTGCTTTTCCCCCTACCACTTTCTGCAAATGCAATGAAGGTTTGGTCTTATTGAGATCTTCAGAATCTGGCTCTTTATTTTTCTAGTATTGCCAATAATCTGGGATAATTCCTTCTGTGGAAGGAGCATGTGTGGGGCCAGAAGAGCACTGTTTGGGGTGGATTTTTTTCAGTCCTTCAGCTCAGCAGCAAGCAGTTCACCTGAGCCCCCTCTCTTTTCCTGAAGTGGGCTCCTCAGAGCTCGGTGGGTTGGGTCAGCAGGAGTATTTTATTACTGCATTTTTGAACCTTACTTTCCCTGGAGTGGTTTGCTGGTCATAAGGCCAATACTGGTCTCAAGTATGCTCCAAGAGACTGGTCTCGTCCACAGTGGCATGGTGAATTCACACAGTGAGTTTGTGATAGGCCTATTTTTGTTTGTAAAAAAAAAAAAAAAAAAAAAAAAAACCAAACCAAAAAACCCCCAAAAAACCCTTAAAACACATTTGTTTTGTAATCGCTTCCTATCCCTCTACCTTAAGGGTGATTTTTTTTTTTCCCATAGTTGCAGCGTTGTCTTCAGGAGAGCCTATGTTTTGTGACTTTTGGAAATGTGCTGTCTGCTATGTGGGAATCTTTTAGTATTTAGAGCCTTGCAGCCCAGGTTGTGACTGACTCCTGTCAAGGAAAACTACTCAGATTTGAGACAACTGGAGTCCTGTTTCCTCCATCAGGTATGGAAAGGAGTGGAGCGGGACTCCCTGACTCCCTTTCCCTATATGAGATCACACTCCATGCTAGGTAAGCCAATGCAAGAGCTGGAACTCGTTTCGAGTTGCTATACCATAAGGTTACCATCTTGTGATATCTTGTTAAGCATTGAAACCATGCATACTTTATCACAGGCTTGGGTGGACATAAGGTCTCCCATTACAGAAAGGTCTAGCAGGTCAATCTAGCTTGTTGATGAGTGCCATCAGAGAAATTGCATCAACACCAAAGTGATTTCCATGGAAGCTCGGAGAAATTTTGGAAGAATATTTTGCCTCATGAGAGGATAATTGCAAATGCTTGCATATTGCAAATGCTTGCATATAGCAGCCTGTAATGTCTAAAGTTATAGGCGCTTGTTTGTCTGTGCTGGTGGGAGGAAGAGCATTTGCTGTATCGATGTGCTTTCCTGAGTGGATGAGAGCATTCATGCCAGTAGGGACTTCAAAGGTGGGGGAGTAAGACCGAAGGGTGTCTGCCTGTCTGGCCATCAGTATGCTGGAGCCTTTTTCAGAAACTAGGACCTGACAGATATGCTCTGCTGCACAAAACCAAACAGCATTAATGTTGTTGCCAAATATAACTTCCAGTGATCTTGCGAACTGTTTCTCATTAGCTGTCCTAGCTGTGTCACTGCTGCTGACGGGAACTGGCCTTTACAACCTGCTCTGTAAACACGCTTTCCAGAGCTCAGCTTGGACAGTGGTTATGGCTCTGCTGCTGCAAGTCTCCTGGGTTAGATCTGGGTGCGTCCCTGGGAAAGGATTACAAAACAGAAGGGTCATATCATCACTGTTTGTTTATGGTGGTTTTGGGAGACGCAGGAGCAGTGTTACCACTCGGATCTTTCCATTGAAGCTTGCAGATTCTCTGTAGAGAACCTGTCTCCTCTGCACTGCAGTAGCACTGATCTTAGTCCAGAAATAATTCGGGTTTTTTTGGCTGCACTTTGGGGAAACTCATTCAGTCTAATGGCATTTTGAAGAGGAAAAACAAAAGTATCTAAGAGCCTGGGGTTTGAGAAGTTGGCTGTTGTACACTGGGTGGAATTCTGAATGGAAAAATCCTGTGGATTTCTGCTATGCAGAGCTAGTTGTCCAGACCTATTGTACTACCTCATGTCAATTAAGTACTATCTAAAAACTACAGGATGGTTGCCACTAAATGCTCGTTTCCAGTTGCATTTCATAGGTTCAAGATGCCTATAACCTAAGATAGAAATAAATGTGAATGCGGAATTGCTTCTAAGAATTTCCATTAGCAAAGCTTTCAGAGTTTATTATTCACAAGTGCTTTGGATGGTTTTAATAATATGATAAAAAAGCCATGCTCTCATAAGCCAGAAGATTGTAAGACAATTGCAAAATGAAAGCTGGTTTAGGGTGAGTACAGGGGATGCTCAGGCAGCTGAACATGCTGGTGTAGAGCGCAGCTGAAGAAGGCTGTAGTATTTTTGTTGAAGGAGTCTGTCGAGTCCATACTTGTAAAAGGAGGGGAAATCTAGAAGCAGAATATGAGAAGTTCAGGGACACAAAGACAGAATACGCTTGAATGATATTCTGGATCCTGGCTCTTATTTGGTCAGACCTGTGCTGGAGAGGTGCTGCACGCATCTGAAAGGAACCTGCTAATATTCATCATCGTGCCAGGATTAAATGGTGTGCTCATTCCCTGGCTCCAGCACTGAAGGGCACTGAGCTCCAGCCTGAACCCCTCTATCCCTGCCTGTGCACGGAGGACGTTAACTTCTGCTGTGGCCAGGCTGGCAGGGAGAGTGCTGCCTGGTGTTGCCTGTTGCGCTTTGGTTAGCACAGCTGCCTGTGGAAGATGAGGAGCTCTGTCTTTGAATCTTTCCAGCACAACATTGTAAAATTCAATTTCTCTTGGCGCTGGGGTGCTGTATGCTTTGCATATTTGTTTGGCTGGTGGAAATTCCTGAGAGTGAGTGGGGCATCAAGTGCTTTATATTGTTGTTATTTAGGAGAGATTTGCTTCCTAGTGATTGCTTATAGTAAATAAAATTAAAAATCAAATTAAAATGGTGGTTTTAGACACTGAGACTGCCTGAGCCTGTGTTTTGTGAAAGCCCATTGATGCAATAATCCGTGTTTATGAAAAGCTGAGTATCCTATCCGAAAGTGTGGCAAGTGCACTAAGTTCTGCAAGGAGCCTGGCTGGGAGGAGATGCTCTTGTCCTTCCTGCCAGGTCGTCTGCATTGAGATCAGAGTGGTGAATCACAGGAATGTGCAGGGAGCAGCACTATTCTCCTTCTGTTCTCCATATGGAAATGGCCATTACGGGTCCCACGGGGAGGATGACTGAAGCGCTGCTGTTAGCCAGGTCATGTTTGCATGAAGTGCTGGGGGAAGAACCTAATGCAAAACCCCTGACCAGACTTGTGTCCTCTTCCAGAGACGCACTTGATGCTGCCAGCGTACTTTATAATCGAGTTGATGAGGGCGTCCACCGACTGGTGATGCTGTCGAACAAACGCATCCAGGAACTGGAGCTGGTGATGGAGTTCGAGAAAGTAGAAGAATGTTTTAAGGAGGTAAGGCCTGTTTGTCAGTTCCAGTGACTGCCTGCTGCCACCCTCTGACTGTGCATCCTACAGCAGGTACTGGGCCTGTTGATCTCTAGTGTGAAGGTGTAGAATGATGCCTGTAGACCCTTAAAAAGAACACCTGAACAACTGAACATTAGAACTTGGGATACATTTTCAGATATGCTGAGAACCAAGCCGTTGTTTGCCTGGTATCTCTTGATGCCAAGTAAAAGTCTCCTGGCTGCTCTGTAGGTATGGATCAGTCAAACCCCATAAACATCTGTGATGTTTTTCCATACTTAAAGACCACAGCATAGTGGCTTGTTGGTTGGCAGTACCCTTGGAGGTGGGCTGTCTTTTCACAGTGGTCAGCAAAAGTACCCTCCCAGCAAGACTGTTGAGGAGCCATTCTTCATGTTCCACCTTGACCAGCAGCAGAGTGTTGGCAACAAGCTGATGATGAGTCTGTGTGTCACCTCTGGGCTGTAGGTCCTTCAGGGTTTGCTTATATCCTGCTGCTGAACGAGTCACGCATCGCGTACCCCATGCTAGCTGCCCATCCCTGCTGTGCACTCTGTTTAGTGTTCAGGTCCCTGCTATCTGATAAGCCTCAGGCACCCTCCTTCCCCTCTGGGTGCAGCCCCAGGCACACTCCTTTTGCCTCTGGGTGCAGCCCTGTATGCAGTCTCCAGGTGGGGGAACAGCCTCTTGTCCTTAGGCCAAGAGCCATGCTCAATCCCCCCACCCCTGCACTTCTGTGGGAGCTTAAAATTCCCCTTCATGTGGTGCTCATTGAAACTCTTTACAGCCGTGGGATAATTGAAGCAAACAGGCACTAGTTTTCAGAAAGACCTTTGAAACCTGTAGCTGTGTAGATAGAGAACCTTAAAAAGTCATAAAGTAGCTCAGGCTGTCTGAGCATCCTACAAGATCTGATCAGTTCTTTCAGTGTTGCAGATCCCAGGTGTGCTCCTTAAGGCTGAACACTAACTCAAGATTATGGAGTCGCATAGTCTCCTTTGCTGTAACTCGTCACCAATGAGAAGGTTTTTTTTATATCACTTATTACCCTGTGTGTGTGAAGGGTTGTATGCTGTTTAGAGCTCACTTTAGGCACCTGCATCCTTAAGATCAGTGCTAGGACCAGTTTCACCAGTGCTCTTCTAGGATTCTGGGCTCTTCTCTGGAGAGAACTGGATTTGCAGAGGCGGCTGTAGCCTACCTGTTGTTTTCACAGGGCAAGGTGGATCCAAGAGTTTTAATGATTTCCCATTTGGAGGTAGACACTCGGGTGCCATGCACTATGTGTTCAGGAGAAGTGTGACGCAAGAACCTAGTAAAAACTCCCTTAAATGTAGAGGTTCTTAATACTACACAGAAATTTAAAAAGGCACAAAGGCAGGATCTGCAACCTGTCCCTGCTTTAAGCTGCACTTTTTTGATTGAATTGAGCAAAACTGACTGCTCCCAGCTTACTTTGCTTGCAGATCACCAATGATGGCAGCATTGCTGGCAGCAGCTGCTCCTGCTTTTAAGCCTGCCTAGGCGCTCTAGGCAGCAGCAGTGTACCCCTTTGCAGTATGGGTCACAATCTGTGAACCCACCCCATCTCCACCTCTTGCCAGTGGGTTTGTTCCATGGGCACGGACCCTCTCTCAGTCCAGAAGACGAGGAGTTTGTCCTTGACTGAGAGGTTGAGTTGGGATGATGCAGGAAAACAGGATGTGTGGGCATTAGGAAACGTTTAGTCTGTCCCTTCCCACAGGTGCAGTTATGCCTGAAGCATTGCAGACAAGTTTACTAGCCTGTTTTTAAAACCTACTGTTGATGGAGATGCTGTGTTATCCTGCCTGGCCTCCTGTGTATGCTTTGCTTTTAGAACACTCTCGTTAGTTCTCTACCCATGTTTGAGGATATAGGTTTGTAACTGCGGCAGTGGCTGGGCTCTCTCAAGTAACCTGCAGTTACTGCACAGCTTTGTGGCAAGCTGCCTTCAGAAAACCAGTAGCTGAGAGTCCCAGAGAACCATGAAACGTTGCAGATAGGGAGAATCTGTCAGTATGTTCACACTGACGTAGTTCATGTCCTGCCAGTCAGAAAAGGGAAGTGGTGTAGGAAACCTGGCAGCAGGGAGATTTTATCCCACTTGGGGGTAACAATAATAGGAATATCAGGCCAGGCTGCAGGTTGCAGGGCTTGCATTAGACCATGGCTCACCTGAAACAGAGCCCAAGCAGCTACTTGCCCTGTTTATGCCTAAGGCTAGTGAGCAATAGCAGAGCTTTGCAATTACTCAGTAACCTGAAGCGGAAAAACTCCTAGCAGGAGTCTCAGGCTGAAATGCCAGGATGGAGGGGGGAAGTGGACATGCACATTCTTTCCAGTAATGAAATGACCAGCGTTATGAGAGCAATTCCTTGCTCTTTCCACATAAAGGCCTACCCTCATGAGTAGCACGGAGTGACTAATAGTGGAGCTTTTCCCTTTTCTCCTAGGTCAGCAGTTGGATCGAGAATGTTGGCAGAAAACAGCTAAAGGAAACAATCAACCTGGATGATTCTTTGGAGATGCTGCTTCAAGCACTGGTTCAGGGAGTTTGATCTTATTGCCAGTGTAAGTGTTGTCTGATTGGAAAAACATATTCTCTAGAGTCTGAGCTGGCAGCATACGTGCCTTGTACATGCTCAGCCAAACCCATGATGCTAAGATGGCATTGGTAAGAGGATTCATCACCAAAGTGTGTGTCATTCCTTTACACTACTTGGCTTTCCTGCTGTCCTTTTGTAGCAAAGCCACCAGCTCAGCCCCTCAGTAGGTGGCATTTGCCAGTCTTGAGGAAAATAACTACTGTGATGGAAGATGGATTTTTTTTTTTGTTAATTCCTTAATGTGCTTGTAATACTGTCTTTTTTGATCGTAATTGACCTGTGGCTTTATTGCGTAGGCATTTACAAGCTACTGTGTGGCTCATGTAAATCATAACAGAGGTCAGGACTCTTCAGAATTCTGCTGTAAACAAGTACACCCCTGCTCATGTGATTTGAACCTTAAAAAACAGTCTAATTAGTCCTAGCTGTTAATGACCTTGAAGATTATCTCCTGTCTATGTCAGGTCTCTATCCTTATATGCAATTGCATTTTGCTTTCAGGAATATTGCAGAAGGGGGCAGGAAGCACTAAAGAAGATGGATCGATGGGAAGACTTTTCCTCTGTGGATGTACATTCTTACAGGGTAAAGCTGCAGACCTACAAAGATCAACTGGAAGATTTCTGCACTCAACTGGATGAAAACAGGCATCGAATCTGTGAGACAGTTAGGCTGTATGAATTCTTTGACAAGGTAAGAAAGGCATCTGCTGCACGGAGGAGGGTGTAAAAAGCCTGCTCGGACTCAGTCCAGAGCTTGGTTGTTTATGAAAGATGTGAAATGTAGTGTGTGCACCAACGAGGAGCTGGATCTATGACCTGCAAAAGCCCCTTCATGCTCATGTGTCTGCAGTGTTTTTTTTCAAGTCAGTATGTGGAAGAAGGGGTGGGTGTGTATTCAAGAAAATGTCCTCATCTCTTAAGAATAGAGGTCTTCTGCTGTCTGAGCTGTAGCTCGTAGGCCCCTCTCATGGCCGCAGTGGACAGAAGAATTATGGCAGTGCTGGCTTGGACACTAAGCCAAAAGACTGGCTGCTTGTGTCCAGTCTTGGCCACCAGGCCAGGGTAGGCTGCCTGCATTTTCTTCATATGGTATCCTTACATGCTGGTAAAGTCATCCTGTTGACACATCAGGAGTAGCAGCTCCCTGCTACTCAGCACTAAATATAGCCCAGCCCCTCTCTTGTGGAGGCCGGTGTGAGGAAATGGAGCACCAGAACAGGGTACTGGGCAATGTGGCTGAGGGACCCAAGGGGACTGGGTTGGCCCAGGCATCTGGGAAGCAGGAGGAGAGGATGCTGGTGGTGACTGTGCTGAGTGCCTGGCCTTCTCACCTGTTTGGTTTAATGCATATGCACCTATTCAGCAGACCTGCAGTTGGATTTGGTGCCCTTTAATTTCTAAAGTTGCAGATGAATAAACAGTAAGATTTTCTAAGTGCATTATAAAATACAGCTTTGGCAAGCACAGAAGGCCAGGGAGCCTGTGCTCTGTTTATTCCACACTTGTACAAACATTGGGCATTGAAGTTCTCAAATTCCAGAAAGAATAGACACTAGAAGTTAAGCTGTACCAGATGTAGGTGCCACTTAGTTGCTGTCTCTGAGCTGCCTTGGCTCATATATATATATATATATATATATATAGATATAGATATATATTGGTCCCTGAACACCTGTTGCCATCATGGGGGATCCTGGCAAGGATCCTGGTAAGGATGGTTGTTGTCATTTTTCTTCTGATAAACTGAGGCACACAAAGGTTCCAGGTCTTGCTCGGCATCTTGGCAAGTCTATGGCCAAGCCAAACGTCGGTCCTGTATGAACCTGCCCAGCCAAAGTTAGACATCTCTGAAGCACGGATGTGGACTGTGGCACATGGCAGCTGTTCCGTTCAGGCATGGGAAATACATCGCGGTAGTAGCTCTTGGGCTGCCCGGGTAGTCGGGCATGACTCGACAACAATGGGTGTTCTTCCACAGCTTCAAAGCCTGGGCCGTTCCCAGGGGCACAAATGTTACACAGACCCCAAAGATGGAACATTTCTTTTCCTAGGGCTTCATAGCCCTGCTCATACAGCTTCTTTTTGGTGGGTGACAACTGGGGGATGCAGTCCTTGGCGACAGCAGCAGCATCCCTCTTGGTTGTGCCTTTCAATGCTCCACAGCCCCAGTGAAAACTGAATGATAGCAGTGTGTTTGTGCACTGCTTTGGTGTGAAGGAGAGGTATCTTGCTTAGTGAGGGAGGAGGATTTTGATCCTACCGGTTTCAGTAGAACTATAAACAATGCTGGTGTTATAAATACAACACATGTGTGTTGTGAACCGGTGGCCAACCGAAACCAGGGGTGTGGAGGGGATACATCCTGCAGCTGTAGGATGAGTACAGAAATTAGTGCGCAGCATGAAAGTTCTTTCAGTGCTGGTTATTTTGATCTTGATTTCCAGAATGCTGTCTGCCTTCCCAAAGCAAAGTCAGTGGTGTGGTCTGGGAGGTGGGGGGAAAGCAGATTTTATCTAAACTGATTTCACTCTCTTCTGATGCTGAGCTGCTTTGACCTTACTGTGGTGATGTTGTCAGTGCCTGCCTAACCCCCTTCTCTCTTCCCTAATATCTGAGGGAATATCAGTAGCAGGAGTCTAAACTAAGCAATGTCCTTGATTTTCTTTCTTGTAAAGAGCCTGCAGTGTGCCAGACCCCAAGATTTGGGGAAGGAGCCTGAGGATGCGTAAGCAATGTACACTATGGTAATGAGCTGGCAAGCTCAGATCTCTCCAAACATCTCAGCATGCTCCAAGGGAGTGGAGCGCCCACCACAGGGATCATGGTATTCATCCCTCACGCACCTCGCTGCCTACTAGGAATGGGAGGCTCTGTTCTGCTGGGCCTCCTTCTGCGTGTGGTGGACAAGTCAGAGCAAGCCACTGACTGTGGCTGCTGGACAGGCCATGGGACAGGACAGCGTGACCCCATATGGTCCATCAAGATGCCATACTGTTTTTTTCACTGCTTGGCAGTTCCTGATGGTCTGTCAGACTCCCTGTGATGAAGCAGGCTGAGCTGGGCCAGACCACATGGAGCCTGCACATGGGCTGGCAGGGTTCCCTCCCCAAAGCCATGACTGGTGCCAAGCTGGATGTTTCCATTTGTCCCTGCTTCCTTTGTGGCAGGAGCTCTCTGTGCCTGACAAGGGCTGGATGATGGCTGGGCTGAGGCAGGAGGAGCGGTGAAGGAAGCTGCCTTCCCCATCTCTGACTGCAGGCAGAGGATTGTTTTTCAGTACCACAGACTCAGTGCGGGCATACTCGGGGACCTGCCATCTTCCTGTGGCTTCAAGCCTGGTCTGGCCGTTGTCCCTTGTTTACTCAGTTCCAGGATTCTGTTGGGATCTGGCACCACACAGTGCTTTGGGGAAGAACTGGGAAGCTGAGCAAGCAAGGGTGTGCATGTTATACCAAAAGCACTGATGTCTGCTTTGTTCTGGGGTGCCTGCAAGGGCAGTCCCCAGTAGCCTTCGCTCTCACTGCCTGTCCTGGCTTCACAGTAACACTGCCATAGGTACATTACCAGGAGGAGCTAGAGCAAGTCTCCCTCTCCTTGCTTCCCTTGTTAGCCTTCACATTTTTTCCTTTCTCAAGCTTTCTTTGGGTGAAATTATTTCCCAGGTCACTCTTCTATCCCCAGCTCTCTGCATGCTCTTGACTTTACCATGAGCAAAATGCCCAGCTGCCTGTGTCCACAGGCTTGAAATGGCCCATGTGAGAGCTGTGTGCCCTGTCAGGACCACAGCTACCTAACTCTCAGAGGCACGTCTAATGAGCCAGAGCACACAGCATGGTCTCTGCCAGCCCTGGGATGACAACCAGTCCTGCAGAAGGTCGGTAGCGAAGGCGCATGATACTTGCTGGCAAAAGTCACTGTGTTGGAAGAAAGCGCTGACCCAGCGGGAAGGGGCAGAGTCCCGTCACACTGGCTCAGCACCTGCATACCCTGCAGCTGTGCAGTGGTGTGGTGCCCAGAGCCTCACAGCTGAACTGCCCGTATCATTACCGGGGGGCCTGAGGCAGCCCCAGGGGCTCCTTCCTGCTTGTCAGGATGTTGTGCAAGATGCTGCCTCTTTTGGCGCTCAGGGAAAGTGTGGGCATTGCTCTGCCATGGCCTGGGAGCTTGTTGCAGCTTGGGCCCTTGCCTTGCATTTGCTTTCTGAGGGAAGCCATTTGGAGGCCCAGTGCTCAGGATTGTTGGGATGAGGATGGTTGAGAAATGGTAGCATTTCCCTGGTTCGGATTTCTTTGGGCTCTGCTCCATGAGCTGTTCCTTCAGTGGCATTCTCTGGCTGCCACCCCTTGGACCCCTTCTCTGAAAGGACCCCTGGCTGTCAGCCTGTGCTGATTCTGGTTTCTCGGTAGTGATCTGCAGCCATCCCTGGCTTCTTTCTGCTGCTTCTGAGCTCTGCTTGGAGTGGGCAGAGTGTTGCCAAACCCCTCTCCATCTGTGTTGACAACTCTTGTGGAGTGGGTTACCTATGCTCACGTGTGGATCTGCCCCCACAGTGAGTTCTCCTCTGCTCTCCTCCTTCTCTGGCCCTCCTCCTCAGCCACTTTGTTCTTTGTGGCTTAGAAAACAAAGCCTTTGGCAAGTGAAGGAGGTGCCTGCCCTTCCTGGGGGAGGGCCAGCTGGCCTGCATTTGATTATGGCAGCGCCTCCTCATCCCTCCCCATTGTCCTTGCTGCTGTAGGAATGCCAGCCTTTTTGCGCTCCATCCCCTGAACAAGTGTTGCTGCCTCTGGGGCCCAAAGAGGGGCTGGGGCCCTTCTTCCCATCCGTCCAGGCCCCGCTGTCAGGAGAGCCTCTCTGCACATCTCCATGCACCTTCCCTCTGAGTCGAACACATCCCTTCTTGACTCCGGCAGCAGACAGACACAGCAAACCCTCTTGTAAGTACCAAGTGTCCGGCGCCCCGGCTGACGTGTGAGTTGTATTGAGATTGTTTGGAAACAATGTAGAGAAGGCTTTTCACTCAGTTGCTTGTGCGCGTCTGTATTCATCCAGCACGAATCAGAGTGCTTTGTGTGAGGCTTTTGTGCGCTCAGACAGAGCCCTGTGGGCTGTGTGCATCTTTGCATGGTCCCTGCGAATCCCAGGGTTGCGCTGTCTGTTATACAGCAGTGCCTGTCCCTCTTTCTCTTTATTAGAGGTTATTGCATGATCATTTCAGTGGGCATAATTTAACTGTAGCTAGAAGTTGTTGCTGGGATTGCATGCCTCCAGCCTAGCTGGATGTACACACAGGGCAGGTGGTATCTTTTGATCTGCCTGGGCTTCTGTTAAAGGTTGTGGACAGCACAAGACGGGGCTGCTCTCTTAGACTGGTCCAAGGTTTGCTGGGCTCCTGTCCTGTGAGTGACTGAGACCTGCTGGCACAGTGCTCCCAGCTCTGAGAGACAGATCTGATCTTAGATGTGACAGCAGAAATCCAGAGCATGATAAGGTAGCTGACTTCCACAGATGTCATTACCTCGCACTTCTCCCCAAAAGATTCAGAACAGTGACCTGCTGATTTCTCAGGCTGTTTGGCCTAGGTTGAGAGTTTATTTTACTAAAAGGGCAGCATGATTCCCTGCTCTGGGAATGTGCTTGGAGGAGATGTGGAGACTAGAACTTAGCACCAAAGTGGAAAAAGAGGCATTTGAT